GGGGGTCCCATCCGTCCTCCCCTCCCTCCGCCGCCGCTGAAGGACGTCGTCGGCTATAGCCCAGGGCTGATGGCGGTGGCGGGGGTCTTCCCTCTTGCCTGCGCCGTGCGGCCGGTGCGGAGCCCCGCGGCGTGGGTGGCACGGCCGATCTGGCCTGGCGGCGCGGCGGCTGCCTCGGCCAAGGGCGGCGATGGTGGGGTGCGGTAGCCGGCCCTGCCTCGGGCTGCATGGCAGCGTTCGGTGGCGGCGGCCGGGTCTGCGGCGACACAACATCTGACCTCGGATCGGTGGTGGCGGCATGGAGGGCCTGGTGGTTGGGTCGGCACCATGCTGGTTGTGCCCTCCGGACAGATCTGATCTGGCCGATGCGGCGTGCTCCATGTGCGGCGGCCCAGATCGGCGGCGATCCGTGCACACAATACGTGATGAAGGTTCTTCGAGCGGATCTGGGTGAAAACCTTGTGCTCGGCTTGATGCCAAGACCGGCGTTGGTGGCACCCTGTGGTGCCATTACCTTCTTGAAGGCATCGCCGTGGAGAAGCTCTAGACCTCTATCTGCTACCTCCAGGGGAAACCCTAGATCAGTTGATTGGATGACGACGGCGCGTTGGTGTCGTTTCCTCCTTGGGGCGTCATTCTTGGAGGCGTACACGGGTTCGAGGGACCAGCGGGCGCCTTTTTTGGTGGAGCGGTACATCATCCTTCACATTGATGACGACGGATCTCGGCGGCGTGGTGCAGTGGACACTCGGCGGCCGATGCGCGGTGACGGACTCGCGCAGGTGGAGGTAGTTGTCTGGCGTCAAGGTGGCGTCGATGGCGGCGTGGCCTGACAAGGTAGAAGTCTCAATATCTGCTCTGAAGACGGACCTGTGGAAGATGGCGGCGACGACACATGTGAGTGCGTCAGACCAGTTTATGCCCCAGACTCGGTATGTGGCTCGGCTAGGGCTTCTGGCTTTTGATGATAGGCTTAGGTGAGTAGACCGGTTATTTGGCCCAGGTAGCATCCCTTCATCATATGGATAGGAGTAGTGGCATATGTTGCCAAGATGGCGGATACAGACATTTTGTTGTAATACTTTGTAAGGTCCTCGTGAATAATCAATAAAATGACCGTATGCATTTCCCAGATGCAGAGGCCGGGGTCATCCTTCTTTTCTATAAAAAAATAAAAAAATCAGTCATACGTAAACGTACTGGTGGCAGTAAATGAGAACTCAAGACCTTCTGTCTTTCCTCTGAGTGTCGGCACGCTGAACAGGCCCACCTGAGCACGAAATCATAGACAGCTACTTCAGATGCAACCCCGATGTCATTCCTTGACAAGATGGCTACAATCCCCACCAAGAGGGATCATCATCAGTTCATCTTGGAACCTGAAATGCAACAGACCCCGCAATGCCTTGATATAATGATTTTATGTCCACATACTCCCTATTAACATAGGTCGAATAATACTTTGACACTATTATTAACCCCGCAAGGCCATTATTCACATTCAAATTTGTCTTTTCTGAACTTTTAAATGTATATCGAATTTTGAGCTGATTTTCTTGGAGTTGTAGACATACGTCATATGGATATTGTCAAATAATTTTAGTTTTTTTTCCAAAATGTCTAAATATGTATTTTTGAGGTTGATCTCATGATCTCACCTAATGTGAGATCTCATACAAGCCCCCTCCCCCCTAATATGCAGGATATGTTCGGGTTTATTATTTCTTTTTTGACAAAACTTGTAAACTGACGGTTATTATAAGGGATGAGGCCTTTTACGAGATCTGCTAGAGTTGCTCTAACCATGCTCCAAGCTAAATCTTTGTATTCTAAAAAAAAGGTAAATACCTTTGTATAAACTAGCAAAAGGGCCCGTGCCTTGTAACAGGAGAAAAAATATTCATGATCTGCAAAGGCCATGACAACATTTTGGCTATTTTTTTAATATCAATAATATTTTTTTAATACACGTACTTTACAAAAAACATGAATATTTTTTGATTTCCCAAACATTTTCTTAAAATTGTGAATATTTTATGAATATGCAAACATTTTTTAAAATATTACGAACATTTTCTGAATCCACAATTTTTTTTGAATATGTGAACATTTTTTAGATCCACAAACATTTTATCATTTCTTGAACATTTTATTTAAAAAGTATCTTTTTAAAAAAAATCGAAACTTTTTCCAAGTACCAATTATTTAAAGGAGAAAAAATTAAACAGAAAAGAAAAAAACAGACCGCCCGCACATGGGCTGGCCCAAACGAGCGCACGGCATCTTCTCCCAACACGCAGAGCGCAGTATAGGAGCTTCCTACTCCGTGGGCCGGCCCAGATGGAGGATTCCCCTGTGTGAAATGTTTTTTGTAATTTATAGGTGGCATCGGTGGGTAATATTTTATAATTTTAAAGACAATTTATATGATGTACCGCCAGAAGCACTAATGACTTTATTATTAGGTGGGAGTAGTATCCCATCAGCTTGGATGCGACAGCCACATAGTGATCTGCATTTTTCAAAACTTGTAACCTGCCATGTCCTGCTCACTGCCCAGCCCATTTTGCATGGTGCAAGTGTTGTAAGTTACAGATTTCCCTTGTCCTTTTGGGTGAGCAATCTCAAGAACTGGTTTTTGCTTGCTGAATCACACACAGTACCACCACCACCAATCACATTCCGGTAAAGAGACTGGATACATTCGGCTAGTGAATAAACTTTCTAAAATTCATTTACACTGAAATCCCTTATATGCAAAGCAACAGTCTTGTCGACATTCAACTATACGGCAGTATTCAGTCCTGGGATGACACGTTAAAACGTTCCTGTTTCCAGGGAGCACACATGGTTAGATGAAATTTATCGACTGCCAGGAAGTATGTACTGAAATGTTCCAAGGATACTCACCAACTGATGATCACATAATACAGATTCTAGAGATTACACTACACTACACACAATTAGAGAGGAACGTATATCAGCCAACTTAAAACAATAATACATTAACATGCAGAAACACTCACATGCACACATAACAGTTTTGATATGCTGAGACGGTGAAACCCCCAGCATCAAATTCAAGATGTTTGCATGCTAGCAAACAACTAGAGCACACAGTTAAGGTTTCTTCATGTTTCAGAATAACAGGGGTTGCTCCTCGCTCGCAAAAAGAAAAAGGGACTTGGGCGAGGCACATCAAGCTAGCAGCTGCAACATGCATCCCTAGGGCTTCAGCTTTATGCCCTTATCTTGACATTAACTCGCAGATGGAGTTCATTGTCAACGAAGAAGGGGCTGTTGTCAGCAATGAACTCCGACCAAGGAATGCCAAATAGATCGCTGCGTCCAACAGCCTCCTCACGATCAGTGGTGAAGGTGCCCTTGTAACAGGTCACAAACTGCAATAACGGCCTTGTCTTTGCGATAGGGTGTTTTTCACGTTAAACAAACGTGACGGCATAGTTAAATCTCCTATCACCAAGGTCCATGGCGGTATGCGGTTATACCCTACCGCCAGACACTACGACGGTAAGAAAAAGGTCAGGTCGTGAAATTGTTTGAGACTGGGTCGGATCTTGCTTAACTTTCCAAAAAGGGTCAAACAGCGAATTTGGCCGCACGGCAACATCACCACCTTGCTCGCTGTCTGTTGTCGTGACTGACTCCTGACTCTGCAAGGTGACTGATCACTCTTGCTAGCTAGTACTCCCTCCATTCTAGGATATAAGATGTATTGGTTTCCGTGCAAGTCAACCATTTTAAAGTTTAACCAAGATTATAGAACAAAATAGAAACATCTCCAATACCTAATAGATAAAATATGAAACTACCTTTCATGATCGATCAAATGATATAATTTTCAGATTCTGGATACTGATACATTTTTCTTAAAAGTTGGTCAAACATGCACGAGTTTGACTTTTAAAAAAACAAATACACCTTATAAAAAGGAACAGAGGGAGTAGTTCAAGAAGAGTTGCGACGCCCACCATCTTCTGTCCGTTCCAAGAGGAACTAGGAATAACTGCAAGTTCAGAGTCAATCCACCCGTATGAAATGGCCACGCTACAAAATTTCCTTTTCTTTCTTTGTGGTGTCCGATTTCAGGAACTGGTTCTTGTTTGGTGAATGTATTCCGGTACTATCTTTCAATAGGAACCCCGAACCTGAAAGCTCATGCTCCTGCTTATTTTGTTAGTACTAGGTGAAAATGCCATAGTAATCTGCATTCAAGGGAACATAAAAATCATCCCAGTTTCAACCATGTACAGAAATACTAATAGGTGAACAACAAGAGCAACCGAAAAGTATACCCAAAAACCATGGCACTTGAAGGTGACTTTCAGTTGTAGTTTGATGGCATTGGCAAGTGTCGGCCCACTCACAGCAGTCACATTCAGGTAACCTGGATACATTGGTCTAACTGAACAAACTAGTGAATAAACTTTCGAAAATTCATTTACGTTGAAATCCCTAATCTGCAAAGCAATAGACTTTGTCAGCAGTGAACTAGACAAAAGTATTCAGTTCTGGGGTAACCCACATTGCTTCGGTTCCGGTTTCCAGGGAGCACACATTGTTAAAATACCTATCTGACTTCCAGGAAGTATGTAATAAAACATCCAGCGATAATCAGCAAAAGATCATCACATAACATAGATTTTAAGGATTATACTCCAAATTACAGAGTCCGCGATATATATCAGCCAACTTACGACGAAGTGTACATAAACTGGCCAGCACGTTCGGTGCGTAGCAGAGCACACACATGTGCTGAGATGGTGAACCCCCAGCATCAAATTCTAGATGTTCACATGCTACGTTACAGTCGCCAAAAGGGAGAACAATGCTAGTAAATAACTAGAGCATCACAGTTCAGGTTTTGAATGGTTCAGAGGAACAGGGGCTTCTCCTCGCTCGCAAAAACAGGAAGGGAATTGGGGCAAGGGACATCAAGCTAGCGGCTAATGCACGCAACCACTACTGCTTCAGAATACTCTTCATGCTTTGTATGAAATCTGACAATAAGGCATTGGCCTTGTGTACACTCACTGTTGGAATTAAAAAAGAACTCAAGATCCTGCGACTTTCCTCCGAATCTGGGTACCATGAACAGGCCCACCTGATCACAAAGTCATAGGCGGCTACTTCAGATGCAACCTCAAGGTCATTCCTTGTCAAGATGGCCATAATCCCAAGGAAAGGGACCCTCATTAGTTCATCTTGGAACCTGACATGAGACAAAACCATGCGATGCCTTGAGATAATGATTTTTTGAGACAACAATGTTCTTTCACTTGAGATAATAAAGGAAAAAAAATAGGGTATCTCACTCCAAGGGGGGTTACTTACTCCGGGAATTTCTTGTACCTTTCACTTTCAGCAAAGAATTTCTGGGCTGCCTCTTGGAGGGCATCTGCCATTGAAATGCAACATGGGAGATCTAGGCACCTCACTGCCAATTCTAGGTTCATGGGAAGGTCTATGAGCCGCTGACCGCAGAGCTTCATGCAAGAAACAACCTCAAATTTGTCAGCAGCCATCAAGATATCAAGCAGAAGAGTGGGCTCAGTCGGTATCAACTTTCCACTATACATAAAGCCTAAAAGCTCCATGAAGGCCTTTTCCTCTGTTCCAAATAAGAAATGGAAACAAGGAGGCGTCAGGATTAATAAAACAATTCGATAAATCTCAAACGGAAACACTTAAATAAACACCAAAACGGTGATAGATATTCTTTTATGCCCAGATGATTATTTAAGCATGACCATTGACTATCAGTAATCAATTGGGTAAATCGGTAACACACAAGAAAAATATTCATTTGGCAGTGAGAATAGCCAATTCATTATCAAAGTATAAAAGTGTGGGAGGAAACTCTAAAACAGGCCTCCCTATAATAATCACTGTAAATTAAAAAAAAGCATAACTCAATAATACACTCACAGTAGCAAACTAGAGCCATCGGTAATAGGAAGATGAAGAAGAGTACATTGCACACTTTACTTACCTGAATCAGCAACTCTAACTGTTGCCTGGGTTTGACCAGATTCTTTCATGCCATTTGAGAAAAGCTAAAAAGCAGGAAGCTTATCAGAAGGATTAGTCAACTGATTATAGAACAAATGCATTTCTAAAGATTGTCAGAATTACCTTCAGAAAGAAAGAACTTTTTGCAGCAAGGATCACCGAACTGACATGTATGGTCTTGACTTGTATTATCGGTGTACCCATCACAGTACAAGAAGTGTCAATATCCTCTTCATCCCCACCTGCGAAAATCTAAGGTCGGATAATATAGAAGAAAATGCAAAGCTAGAGAAGAAGAGGCACGTGACAGAATTACTTGACAGGTTTTTTTATTCTTAAACTATATGGAACATCATATTCTCTAAGCGCGAGATTCATTTGATCAACCTCAAGAAACGCGGGAAATGCTAATTATCACAAAAACTGGATATACATTGAGTGCAGATTCAGTGCAGAGATAAAAGAAGATTATTATTTTTTCTTGTGAAAGATGTGAAATAATTGATCACCTTGTCCCTTCAATCTAAGGCTGAAGCATTGTGCTGCTTTGATCACAGCTATCTACAAGCTACACGGATCATGCATAAACAGTTAAACACACATAACCTGTA